TTCCTCTTTGGTTTTCACAGGAGGAACTGTCACCTTTCTTGTAAATCGGTATGATCACCGATTCACACCATTCAGCTGGAACCTTTTCCCTTTCCCACATTGAGCCCAGGAGTTTCGTTCACTCCAAGACTAACGCTGAGCCTCCATTCTTAAACGCCGATGGGATCAGCCCATCTGGACCGGAGGCCTTGTGAGATAATGTATTTTACCAGAAACTTCCATTTCAGATGGAGGAGTAACTTAAAGTGGGCGTATTTGCCCAGTCGATGTGAAATATGATAGGACAGATATCGAACTGGGCCTTGAGGTGTTCAGTTTATCGATCACGACGGCGTTTCTGACGGCGAGTTACTGTGACATCGGATGCCTAATTACCTTTTTCACACCTATTTCCCTAGGGCCCGTACTGCTAATTAGACGAAAAAGACTGCGACTGTTACTAATAGTCACATCTTTCTCTATTTCTTTACGTTTTCCTACCCACCACTTTTTGCGATCAATTCTCAGATTTTTGATTAGCTGGAATTTGAGGAATATGCGCACTGTATTATACGTGGTATCAGGAGGGAGGGTTTTCCGGGCATCCAGCAGGGCAGTCGAGATCGACAAGATCCATCGTTTGTGTTCTGAGCCTGCGCCGGGGTTTTTATCGTTATTTGCATAGCTTCCTTGATGTGCTTCCACTGTTCATTGAGTGCTGCGGCTTGAGGTTGAGCTGAGAGGCGATCGGAGGGTTCCGCTTCAAAGGCCGATTTGGAACAATCACTGATATTGCCTCGTAGCTATCCGTTGCCAGTTGCGTTTTTGCGGTTGTTTGCCAGGCTTAAGAAGAGTTGGGCTCGTAAAAAAGCGTGGTCCTTATCCACAGGTTTTGAGCAGTAAGAGTGACAGTCTTGGATCGACCCCCAACAGCGGGACGAGACTGCACTTTACTGGTTGGGGGCTACTTGGACAGGCGTTAGCTATCCAATCAAATGCGCAGATTTCTCCCATCGTCTGTAGGAAACCCAAGGTACTCCACTCCTAAGTCCATATAGCATAGATATTTTTTACCGATAAACTCCCCTCACCGTGTTTATTTGATGAATTGACCTCACTAAATACGGGTGTATATAGTCAAATTAGTCCAGGCGGTGCCCAAACAATTGGGCTTATGAGACTGAGTGTTGTTTGCCCTCTACTCATCGACCTTTAGGGATGATTGAATATACGGGTGTGAAAAACCGTCCTATGTAGCTCGGAGGGAGGCAGTGAAGCCAGCAAAGCACGTCAAGGTGAAGTCCCGTCATGATTGATCGTGATAGTATATTATGAGATCAATCTGATCGATTAACGGGCAGACAGTCTTTTGTTCAGCAAGACCATTTTATTGCAGTCCGAGGTGGTTGTATTATATTCCATTGATGTTTGGATAATGCTTGCTCCACCGCGCTCGATTCACTGACATTTCACCGAACTGAAAGAAACAGGGAAATGGGCAAACTGTGACGTGGATTACAAAGTTAGGGAGGGAAACCGTGAACATGACCCCCGTCCCGGCTACGGCCCAAAAATATTCACATATCCGTTGACTGGATATACTAAGGGGTACGGCACCAAATAGTAGGAAGTGACGTATATGCGTTTTCGTAAACTTTGCTTCCTCCTGTTTATATTTTTCGGTACTTTATGAAACCTGGATAAATTGGCACCGACTCTGCAAAGATTGGTAAATATGCATACCCTTCTGGTTCCGATCAAACAGAAGCCCAGATTGTCTCACTCCCGAAATTTCTAAAATAGACAACCAACAGAACATCCCTGCTCAAACAAAATATTCCTA